AAGGCCGATTAAATTCCATTGCTGCCGTAATATATCCCCCCAATATTCCTATGAGATCTGCACATATTGTAAATATAGGAAACATTATGATGGATGCTAAGATCCTTGGTGCAATTAAGTATTTAAAAGGATTAATATTCAAAGTTATTAGAGCATCTATCTGCTCGGTAATGCGCATTGTGCCAATTTCGGCTGCAATTGATGATCCAGCTTTTCCTAGCATTATTAAGCTGATTAAAACTGGTCCTAATTCTTTTAGAATAGTGATTGTCACAATTTTGGGCACGATTTGTTCTTGATTAATTAATGGGCCACTCAAGCTACTTTGCAAGACTATTACTGCTCCTATAAAAATTCCAGTTAACCCAACAATTGGTAGAGAAAAGAAGCCTATCTCTATAATTTGCTTTATTATATTGTTGAAATAGTATGGCGGTACAAAACAGTGATACAGAGATTGAATAAAAAATATGAATGCGTTACCTAGCTTTAAGAAAAAGTTAATGAAATATCTACCAATTATTCTAACGCTATTGATATAAAAAAAATTCACCTAATTTATCCCAAATAAGATTGCAAAGTGTAACCTAGATAAGTTTTAAGTTCAATAGGCCTCTTTCGTATTAATGGTAATTTAATCGTTAGTATTATAAATTTAATATATATACTAATTTGAGGATAGAGTATGCCTAAGAATAAAAAATCTAAAAAAGTATTGCAAAATGCGGGTATTAGTAATAGAGATAAAGTTCGCAGTGAAATACCTCATTTACATCAGGCTGCTAAAAATAATCAGGTAGATATGATGAGGGCTCTATTAGCAGCAGGTGCGGGTATTGATTCTCAAGATCGACAAGGAGACACAGCTTTACATTATGCTGCTGGATATGGTCATAAGGAGGCAGTCGAATTTCTCTTAGCAGCAGGTGCAAATGTTAATGCTAAAAATATATATGGTGAAACTCCTTTATATTGTGCTTCTAAACATTATTATGTGGAGGTAGCAAAGATTCTATTAGGCAAAGGTGCAGATGCTAAGATTGTAAGTATATACGGATACACTCCCTTACATTGGTGGTCTCTTAGAGGCAATATTGATATGGTAAGGGTTATATTAGCAGCAGGTGCAAGTGCGAATGTTAATGTTATAAATAAATATAAAGAAACTGCTTTACATTGGGCTTCTAAGCATGGTCATAGAGGTGTAGTAATGATTCTGTTAGCAGCAGGAGCAGGTGCAAGTTCTTTGTTAAAGGATGATCGTAAAAAAACTCCTATAAACTTAGCTAGTAGTATTGAGATAGAACGGATTTTTCAGCAGGCAGAAAGTGCATTGCAACAGATGCAAAGTGTGAAAATAGGTGAGAGTGGGATATCACCTCGTGACATTGTGCTAGCAAGTGAGGCCAATTTAATACACTACGCATATAATGCTGAAGTGTACCAATGGTTGCAAAGTCAATTTGGTTGTTATGCCCCATTGCAGAAAGATTTGCAGCAAGGTCAATTTGGTTTTTACAATGGGTTGATATATGCTCAGTATCAAACTATAAGAAGAATGAATCTAGAGCGGGATGCTAGTGACGCAGTACGTCTTCTGGTACTTGCGGGGTGGAGATTAGTGGATAAAAATTCCAAAGAAATAGCAATTGCTGATTGTAGCAATATTGAGTTAGAAAGATTAATTGCTACAAATATTGATGCTATATATAAAGGTGGAAAAACTTCCTTATATTGGGCTGCTGAAAAAGGTTATATGGAGGTGAGAAGGTGTCTGTTAGCAAACAATGCAGAAGTTTCTCAACCTAATACTCAACTAGATGTAACACAAATAGCAGGAGGGTCTGGCTTAGGTAAATATCCATCTTAGTATATAAACTGGCGTATTGGTGGCAATCGATACGTTTCTAAAATACATCTTAACAGTGTTTACCTATTCTACTTTAAATTTAAAAATGCGAGATATTGACACAATTTTAACTAGAAAATACCTTGACTTTTTTGCAAAAGTATTGTAAATTTAGTATATATATTAGTTTGAGGATAGATTATGCATAAAAAATTACAACAAGTATTTAAAAGTGCATGTGTTAGTAATAAAAATCACTATAAAAAACCTCCTTTACATCAGGCTGCTGAGAATAATCAGATAGAGGTAATGAAGGGCCTATTAAGAAAAGAAGAAGGTAAAGAAGATGTGGATGTGGATGTTAATGCTGTAGAAGATAGAAATAAAGAAACGGCTTTACATTTTGCTGCTGGATATGGTCATATAGAGGCAGTAGAGTTTCTTTTAGCAGCAGGCGCAGACATTGACGCTAAAAATAAATATGATGAAACTCCTTTATCTTGTGCTTCTCGCGATCATCAGGATTCTCAAGGTCATCATATGGAGGTAGCGAAGATGCTATTAGACAACGGTGCAGATGCTAGGATTGCAAGTAAATTCGGATACACCCCTTTACATTGGTGGGCTCGTAGAGGTCATATGGATATTATAAGGGATTTATTAGCAGCAGGTGTAGGTATTAATGTTGCAAATGACTATGGAGATACTGCTCTACATTGGTCCGCTAAGCGTAGTTATAGAGGTGTGGTAATGATTCTGTTAGCAGCAGGGGCAGATCCTTCATTAATGAATATGTATTCTCAGACTCCGGCGGATTTAGTGCAGACTCCTGGTATAGAAAAGATTTTTAAGGATGCAGGAGCTATATTACAGAAAATGCGGGAGGAAAAAATTGGCAAGAGTGGGATATCGCCTATTGACATTGTTATAGCCAATGAGGCTAATTTAATACGTTACGCTCATGATGTTGATGTGTACCAATGGTTGCAAGGTCAATTTTATTATTATGACCCATTGGAACAAGGTTCATATGGTGATTATTCTGAATTGATATGTTCTCGGTATCAAACTATAAACGGAAGAATATGTATAGCGAACGATGCTAACAAGGTGACAGCTCAACCTAATACTCAACTAGATGCAACACAAATAGCAGGAGGGTCTGGCTTAGGTAAATAGTCATCTTTTTAGTATATGATTAGTGTATCGGTTGTCATCGATACACTAGACTTCTTTCTAAATTCAAATTCTGATGGCAATTTTGTTGTTGAAGCTGAGCTGTGCTCCTCAAATACATCCTACGGTGCTCGCTTGCACTTCTTCTAGAAATTTCTTACCATAAATCGATTTTGAAAGAAGTCTACTTTTTCAATGCATCTTAATGGCATTCATCTACTGCCACTCTAAAGTTAGAAGATAAGTATTTTCAACTGGAAGTAACTTGACTTTTCAATAAAATGTTGTAATTTGAACTATATATACCAATAGTAGAAAGAACCATGGGTGATGAGATATTTGAAAGACTATTAGAAGATACAGATTTTAAAGATAAATATGGTAATACTCTTCTACATTTTGCTGTTAAACATGGTCAAATAGATGTAATAAGGGAGCTATTACTAAGTGGTGAAGATATTAATACTCAAAATAAAAAAGGGGAAACTCCTTTACATTGGGCTGCTGGTTGTGCTATTAAAAGTGGTCATATGAGTATAATAAGAGCTCTATTAAGATTAAGAAAACCAAAAATTTACTCTATAAGTAAAGGAGGAAGAGCTTCTCTGTATGTTGCTGGGTATGGCAAAATAGATGTAGTAAAGGTTTTATTAGAGATGGGTGCAGATCCTTTGTCACGGGATAGAAAAAATAGAATTCCAAGAGATTTCACTGATAATAATAAGATAAAACAGCTTTTACAATATGCAGAAATATATCATGCTGCTAAAAATGGTCAAATCGATCAATTAAAGGCTCTATTAGCAAAAAATATAGATGTTAATGCTAACAACGATAAATATAGACATACTCCTTTGCATTATGCTGCTGAATGGGGGCAGATAGAAGTAGTAAAGTACCTAATAGAACAAGGTGCAGATGTTAATGCTAAAAGTAAATATAGAAGTACTCCTTTACATTATGCTGCTGAATGGGGACAGATAGAGGTAGTAAAGTATCTAATAGAACAAGGCGCAGATGTTAATATTCAAAATAAACTTAAAGAAACTCCATTACATTTGGCTGCTCAAAAGGATCATATAAAAGTAGTAGAATATCTATTAACACAAGGTGCAGGTGTTAATGCTAGAAGTAGAGAAGAAATAACTCCTTTACACTATGCGGCTGAAAAAGGTCGTACAGAGGTAGTAAGGTATCTATTAGAAAAAGGTGCTGATATTGATGTTCAAAATGGCTATGGAGAAACTCCATTACATTTGGCTGCTCAATATAAGAATATAGAGGTAGTAAAGACTCTATTAGCACTAGGTGCAGATGTTAATGCTGTAGCTAAAAATGGAAAAACTGCTTTACAGATGGCTACTAAAAATAGACTTTTTTCAAAATCGATTTATGGTAAGGGATTTGTAGGAAAAGTGCAAGCGAGCACCGCAGAATACTCGGATGTATTTGAGAAGCACGGCTCAGCTTTAACAACAAAATTGCCATCAGGAATTGAGTTTCAAAAGAGGTCTAATCATCAAGAGGTAATAGATGCTCTATTATCAGCAGGTGCAAAATCTGACACTCAAATGGAGAGCATACAAACAACAAAAGTAGGGCCTGGCTTAGGTAAATAGTTATCTTTTTAGTATGTGTATGTATCGATGGTCGTCGATACGTTTCTTAAACACATCTTAATGGTACTTACCAATTCCATTGCAAATTTAAAAATGAGAGATGCGAATACATTCTAAACTAGAAAATAACTTGACTTTTTTGCAAAAGTATTATAAATTTAGTATATGTGCTAATTTGAGGATAGAATATGCTTAATAATAAAAATAACTATGAAATACCTCCTTTACATGAGGCTGCTAGCAAAGGTCTTTTAAATAAAGTGAAGAATCTAGTAGAAAAAGGTGCTAATGTTAATTCTAAAAGTGAAAGTAGAGCAACTCCTTTACATGGGGCTGCTTTATATGGTCGTAAAGAGGTAGTAGAGTTTCTAGTAGAAAAAGGTGCAGATGTTAATGCTAAAAATGGAGATAGATGCACTCCTTTACATTGGGCTGCTATAGGGGGTTATGAAGAGATAGTAGAATTTCTAATAAAAAAAGGTGCAAATGTTAACATAGCAAGTCATGGGTTTAAAAAAAATTTTTTACATTGGGCTGCCGAAGGTGGTTATGTAAAGGTAATAAATGCTCTAGTAGAAAGAGGTACAAAGATTAACACTCAAGATAAATATAAAAAAACCGCTTTACATTATGCTGCTTTTCATGGTCATCTAGGTGCTGTAAAGGCTCTAATAGAAAAAGGTGCAGATGTTAATGTTGTGGATAACCAAGAAAAAACTGCTTTAGATAAGGCTACTGAGAAAGGCCATGAAGAGATAGTAAAGTTTTTGAGAGAAAAAGAGGTTGATCGACCTAAGACTCCAGTAAATGAAGTATTAATAGAAGGAGGACCTGGCTTAAGTAAATAGTCATCTTTAGTATGTGATAGTGTATCGATGGTCGTCGATACACTCCTCAACTGTGGTGATTTTTCTGCTGCTCTCAAAACATTTCTTATCTATTGTTGCCAGTTGTTTAATTCAGTGTTAGACTTGCTTAAATAAGTCATTATCAAAGTGTCAAACAACGTAGTACCAGTCTCAATAGTAAAAGAATTAGAAGATTCTTAT